AGACCAGTGGTTGGAGGTCCTGGAGGACCTGAGTAGACCAGTTGTTGGAGGTCCTGGAGGACCTGAGGAGACCAGTTGTTGGTGGTTTGGAGGACCTGAGGAGACCAGTTGTTGGAGGTTCTGGAGGACCTGAGGAGACCAATTGTTGGAGGTCCTGGAGGACCTGAGGAGACCAGTTGTTGGAGGTTCTGGAGGACCTGAGTAGACCAGTTGTTGGAGATTCTGGAGGACCTGAGGAGACCAGTTGTTGGAGGTTCTGGAGGACCTGATGAGACCAGTTGTTGGAGGTCCTGGAGGACCTGAGGAGACCAGTTGTTGGTGGTTTGGAGGACCTGAGGAGACCAGTTGTTGGAGGACCTGGGGAGACCAGTTGTTGGAGGACCTGAGGTCTGGAGGACCTGAGAAAACCAGTTGTTGGTGGTTTGGAGGACCTGAGGAGACCAGTTGTTGGAGGATCTGGAGGACCTGAGGAGATTAGTTGTTGGAGGACCTGAGGAGACCAGTTGGAGGTTTGGAGGACCTGAGAAAACCAGTTGTTGGAGGTTCTGGAGCATCTGAGGAGACCAGTTGGAGGTTTTGGAGGGAGTGTGTGTCTGATGAAGGATCCTAGCTATTCATCAGATCTGGTTCTTTGTAGAATTTTCTTGTTTCACGATGTATTGAGTATTTTCAGTTGCTGAGAGGTCCGGACTGCAGCAGCCCGGTTCAGTCCTCAGACTCTTCCATTATGAAGCCGTGCTGCTGGAATGGCTGCAGCATGTAGCTTAGCATCGTCTTGCTAAAATATGCAAGGCCTTCCCTGGAAAAGCTGCCAATTTGGAAACTGTACAAGCTTTTCTGCATTGGTGGAGCCTTTCCACATGTGTGAACTGCCAATGTCATAGGCATTTATGTACCCCCATACCATTAGAGAGGCATTTTTTTTTTTTTAACTGTGTACTGAGAACTGGCTGGATGGTCCCTCTCCTCTTTAGAACAGAGGACATGGTGTTTGTGGTTTCCAAAAAGAACTTCAGATTTGGATCCATATGACCGCAGAACAACTTACTCTCTGTTGAGGAACTTTATTCTGAAATTGTTGCGTTAATTTTTGGCAGACTGGTGAACCCCTGCACGCCTTCTGAGAGATTTCACCTCTCTCTTTTAATACCCAGACCTCAACAATGCTCCTCCAGCAGATTATTTTTTACCACTTTCAGACTTTTGTTTCTCCTGTCACAACTTTTTGAGATGTGTTGCTGATTCAAAATTGTCTTCTTTTGTTTATTTAATTATATTTTATGTTTTTGCAAAGGTGCGTGAATTAAGTATTGCACCGTTTGTCTCGAGCTTGTTTTTATATCTTTTATTCTTTTATATCTCAGTCAAATCTCTGAGTGTGAAAAAACTTTTTTTTTTTACCAGAATCAGGACTTTTTAATGCATGTGTTGATTCTGTTCATGAACATGTGAGTACCGATATTTTAAAACTTTACACACTAAAATTTCTCCAGAATTCCTCATAAATAAACAGCTGAATCAGAGCTGATAAGCTTAAAAAAGCTACATAATGGATTTTTAACGTTTTTTTTTTTCCTAACAGGTTGATTGTTTACCACTTTATTAAAAAAATAAAATAAAAAGGTCCAGATGATCACCTGTTCCTGCTGAGTGCTCCATCTTCACTAACGAGGCTTCATTTCCTCTCACCGGCCCATTAACTGATTGTTTCCCTCGTGCGCTCCATTATCCTCAGTGACTGAAGCGGGCACGATGCATCATGGAAACACCTGCACTCCACCGTTTGGAGAAAATCTAATCCTAAAATGTGCTGCGAGTTTCAGTCTTTATGGGGAAAAGAACTTCAGCGGCTGAAGTCATTAGGCCCGAAGGCAAATGGAGCGGTGCATTAGATGCTGGGGCTGGACAAAGTGGTGTTTCCATGTTTTGTGTTGCTATTTGGGATTCATCTGGACCGTCCAGACCGGCAGAGACGGAGCCTAACTTTCTTTCTTGTAATCTTTTAAAAATGGTCTTGATATGGGAAAAATTCAGGAGTTTAGATATCTCATTGATTTTTTTTTTAATGAGTCTTTGAGAGGAGATAGTCCTTGTCTAAAGTAATGAGGAAGTTGCTCCGGTCTGTCATGGTGAAGAAGGAGCTGGTTGTATTCTACATGTAAATGGTAAATGGACTGTATATAGCGCCATTCTATCTAATCAAGATACTCAAAGCACTTTGCAATACAATCTGTGCCCTCATTTACCTCCACACACATCAATGCAGCCCTCTACAATTCAATTTATTTATATAGTGACAAATCACAACAGAAGTAGGCTCAGGGCACTGTACAAAAACATTCACATGCATAAAAATGAGCCAATTAGTTAAAAGTTCTCTAAGGAAGACAGCAGACTCGTTGAATCTGAACTTCGTTGCAGTCTCCCATCCTGAGCAAGCACAAAGGCAACAGTGGAAAGGAAAAACTCCATTCTAACAGGAAGAAACCTCCAGCAGAACCAGGCTCAGGACAAGTGGCCATCTGCTTCATCTAGATAATCTGAATCTGTAGAAACTAATCAGTGCTTCAGATCACATTCATTCACTGATGGGACACACATCGGAGGCAATGATGGGCTCAGTGTCTTGCCCAGGAACACATCATGTGACTGCTGGTGGAATCGAACCCTCAACTCTCCAGTTGGAGGACAACTGCTCTAAATACTCAGCCACAGCCGCCCTCATGTGACTTCAATGTGTTCTTCACTTGGATCTTTGGGCAGGGAAATCTTTTCATACAAAGTAGAACATCCAGGCTTGGATAAACATTGCAAAATATTTATCAAGTCTCTCAGAACCCTGCAGGGAACATGTGGTCCGGTCTGACGAACCCAACGTTCTGGGCGTCCACTACAATTCCAAAAGACCTGGGTTTTTTTTGTTGTTGTTGTTTTGTTTGTTTTATTGACTATGTGTAAAGATGGAAAATAAAATGGTCTTGTGTTGTTTACATCTCATCAAACTGCTTTTTTAACTGGCGGGAGTGGATTTTTCTTAAAAACGGTTTGTGACGAAAAGAACAAGATTCTGGATCCAAGCAGCTGAGAAAGAGCTTCATGGACCGAGTGTGGCTGAACCTCAGAGCTGAGGTGAGGAGCTCGGAGTAGAGCTGCTGCTCCTCCTCATGAGGCAGCTCACACGTCAGATCAGGTTGCCTCCTGGTTCTCCTCTTAGTTTTGTTCCAAAACTCGCTCGATGAACTGTAGAGCCTCTCTTGGCGGGAAACACCTCAGGAGGGGCTGGAGATGAATGCTGGGAGAAGGGAGGTCTGGGTTTTCCTCCTGAACCTGCTGCCTTCATGTCTCAACCTCGTATCAAAGCTTTTATCCCATAATGAGATTTTTTTTCATTTACCCGTTATTTATCCAGGTAGCCTAATTGAGCCATGAGAACTCATTTTCAAGAGAGACCTGTTTAGGGAGCAGATGGTGGGGTTAAGGCCCAGAGTGGGGTGAACGAGGGTAGGGGCAAATGTGGGTGCTTCACCTACCACACCCACATTTTTGATGTTGTCGGTACCGGGGCATGAACCGGCGATCTTCCGATCCTAACCTCTGCGCCACCACTCCCCTATGGATGGATACACTTTACCTGTCACCTGCCACTCCAGGGGTGGAGCATCCTTCCAGGCACTTCAAAGGTTGGAAGTCCCCACTTCCAACAATACAGTCCTCACCTCCTTCTACAGATGTGCAGTGGAGAGCATCCTGTGCTCCAGCATCAACGTGTGGCATGGAGGCTGCACAGCTGCAGAAAGGAAAGCTTTGCAGAGAGTGGTGAAGGCTGCACAGAAGATGTTGGAGTCAGTCTCCCCACCATCACAGACATCTACACCTCCAGATGCAGGAAGAGGGTCACCTGCATCATGAAGGACCCCACTCACCCAGCACACACACTTTTTGCCCTGCTCCACTCATGCAGGAGGTTGAGGGGTATTAAGTGCGGAACTACTAGACTGAGGAACAGCTTCTACCCTGAGGCTGTTAGACTCATGAATCCTTAACCAGGACAATCATGGTAAGGAAAAAAAGGAAATCACTCTAATGCCGCTTTAATTGGTGAAATGTAACTTATCTGTGCTGCTGATTATCCATGCTGCTGTATTCATAGCCATCTGCTCACCACAGACTCATGTTCAGGCTGCCGTTTAATACACCGTAATATTTTACATTATTAGTGTTTAGCGTGTATCTTAGATCTTAGCGTGTCAACTATTGTTCGTTTAGCGTACATCTAGGTGTATAGCTTAGATCCTTACTGTGTCTTTTTATACTTTATATTTTTGCTATTGTTGGGTGTAACTGGGACCTTGAGTACACAATTTTGTTCCACCTCATGTTCTACATGTGACATAAATGTCAATAAAGATATTTGAACTTGAAGTTCTTCTAATAGTCTCT